TGGGGGGGGGCAAATGCCCCCCCCCCCTAGCTTGTATGTTAAAAAAGGCCCTGCGTAAGGTCCTAGTGCCAGTTTTCTTCAACAGACACTGCGCGCGAGGCGAATTTCCTATGTAAATCCTAACAAATAGCTAGCGCATCAAATGAAAAGTGCCCTTCGAATTAAGTATTATTTTCCCATAAAAGTACATTCAAAAGACGTCTAAAAGCTTATTCTTTCCTATACCGAACACAGATATAATCGTAGAGCAAACGTAAGCGAAAAAACATCAAATTTTGGCGTGATTTGTATAAGCAAAAGTTGGAAATATGATACGCGCAATACGATATGACTTTTTGTTTACGCAAAGTTTGATATGAAATAGACTTCACCGTCCTTCACAAATGGGTCCACCTTTTTAATTCTAAATTGAAAACTTGTGTTCCCATGGTGCTTTGCGCGGTTAGAGTTTAGGATTTAAGGTTTAGAGTTTGCAAGGGACAACCTTTTTTGAATTAGCTGTTACGTCTATGCAGTTCAACTTTGTACAAACATGATATTTTATGTAAAACTACATGTACCTTCATATAAAGTCTTGTGGTGTTAACATTTTCAATGTGTTAATGAATAAAACCAGTATTTCCGTTGGGATAGCTATTGGGTAGAGCATATTTTATTAGGTATAAAGTCGCTACACGTCACAAATATGCTCAAGTTATTGGACAATTTGTCTAATGAATAATAATGAGTGTTTTAATTAAACACTTTTTTACAAGAATTTTGGCTTTCAGTCTAGATAACGTGGGAGTTTGACTAATGGTCGCGGGTCGCGTGTCGCGGGTAAAAAGTCGCGGGTCGCGGGTAAAAAGTCGCGGGTAAGAAGTCGCGGGTCGTAAAAAAGCTCTAAACCGTGTATTTTATTGAGTCGCGGGTTAAATAAAGTGTTTAAAAATCACATTAACATTTAGTTATTTAATGGTTTTTATCAATAGTTGTTCGAAGATGTTATGGCTGTAATTGCGAGTTTCTAGATAAATATAGACAAGAACCATATAACATTATTGTAAAGCACGTTGATAGACGGTAATGCAAAAGGATCCTGTTACACATTCCTATGTTTATAGTCCTGATTTTAGTAATACATATTACCATCCAATTTCTACCATATCAGGCGTAAAAATCCGCTATTCAGTGGCTCAGTGCGCGTTGTCTTCAAGCCTCTGCGCATCGACCAGTACTTTCCAGAAACAAGTGCTAGAGAACAGCGACTTAAATATCCGGGTTGTTGGTGAATCATAATGTACTTTTTATTTTATAATGTCCTATCATGGATATATCTATTATTTGTGATACTATATATGGTTGTTTTTAAATTGGTATAAAACTGATTGTAATAGTAGTGTGGTAAACTGAATTTATTTCTACCAAAGTCTTGTTTGTTTCTTTCAGAACATATTTTTTGATTAGAGGATTTTTGTCATGGTACAATTGTTGGTTTAACATATTGAAATTATTCTTTCAAGTTTTAGGCTTCTGGCACGTTTATATAGAACCATTAAATCATGACAAAAGGCTCTTGGGCAATATTCGTATTGAAGCAATCCTATATAGTTGTTTACTAAATGATAACGTGATTTTACACACTTTATTCAACCCGCGACTCAATAAAATACACGGTTTGGAGCTCTTTTACGACCCGCGACATTTTACCCGCGACATTCTACCCGCGGCACGCGACTTTTTATCCGCGACACGCGACCAATAGTCAAACTTATTAAATCATGACAAAAGGCTCTTGGGCAATATTTCGTATTGAAGCAATCCTATGTAGTTGTTTACTAAATGATAACGTGATTTTTACACACTTTATTCAACCCGCGACTCAATAAAATACACGGTTTGGAGCTTTTTTACGCCGACCCGCGACTTTTCACCCGCGACATTTTACCCGCGACATTTTACCCGCGACCCGCGACATTCTACCCGCGATATTCCACCCGCGACCCGTGACCACTAGTCAAACTCCACGAATTCACGCCTTCCTCATCGTTTTCAGGTAGTTCAAACACATTTCACGGAAACAGTCTAACCAGTCTTGATGAGCGCATGTACGTGACATCCTGACGTACATGCATGAATCTCCACCGGGCCAAAGCTGATAAAGACAACGTCGGCGTTTCGATACTACTCAAGTCTTAATCAATTTATCGGGCATAATTACAAATGTAAACAACCCTATATTTTTTATGGGACTTCTTCTATATCTTTTTATGGGACATACCCCGTCAAAAACAGAGATACAGTAGACCAGTATAGTGTTGGATGGTGTTGTATCCGTTTGGAGTACAAAATTCCTTGCGCAAACTTCTAGGCCTGCCGTGACACGAAATAACTTTTGGAAAATTTTACCAAGCATTTTCTGGTACCAAAATCCGTTTGTTTTCAATCCTTTAAAATGGGCGAAATCAAAACTACGCGAAAATATCGCATCAAAAAAGTAGTGTGCGCAAAATGAAAACGCAACAAAACCAGTGTATATTTGTCGTCATGGAAACGTACAAGGCAAAAGGAACTGAAATTTTTTTTACTGAATCACAGATCACGTTTCAAACCACACAAAATAGTTGCGATACTATCTGTATTGTTATAGCACTGACATGACTTATGCGCTTACATCATTGAATGACGTAATCTTTTAAATAGAAACCAACCTCTCATCCAAAATGTCAAATGTGTACGCACATGATTTTGAGTTTGTGAGCGAAATTGCTAGTATAATAAGCAACTTTGAAGTAGACAGGGACAATGAATTTCGCCTCTCAGCAGATTACAAAAAGCAGATTAAATGAAAAAGTTTTTTAAATCTATGTCCTTTTGACACCTCAGGGTTAGTCTATAAACTGTGAGGGGAGCGGGGGTTGTTTTGGTAGAATTAATAGCCACTCTTGACGTAATACGCGGCTTGTTGCGGAAAAGTGCGGACCGCAGCCCAGCTGAATCTGATATATAAGCCTGTGTGCTAGCACTCTAAGTCAAAGACAAGTTGAAAAGTCACGGAGTACAGTTGATAAACAGGCTAGCATTAAAATCGACATAAGGCTTTATAGCCAGTTGTGTCACGGTAAACGATAAACTCAAAGGTCGAGGTACACAAATACGAGAGACAAGTTAGCTGAAATATAGAATTACGTTCTCAAAATGGTAAGTGTATAAAATTACTGCGCAATACGATATCTTCATTGTAATTGATATAAAATCTAGAAACAATTGACTCATGTTTATGTCAGAAATGCTTATTAAATTTGTATTATTCGACCGACGATGCACAGTGTTCGGGCATATGACTTTGAATAACGACGTCGCGCGTTATTCAAATTAGCCCAAACTTGTGGTGCGTGAAATACGGGTATTATTTTTAATATTTTGACCAAAAGGTGCCAAAGCGTATGTGATTTTGCATGACGTCTTGTAGTATTTCGCTTCTAACGAATTATTAAAAACAGTTTCAGAACATTTGTGGCGAAAATGCTAATATAACTGACACGTTCGGGGCTAATATTCGTTCGTTCTCTCAGAAGCGCTATATAATCTGCATTTGTATTGGAGAAAATACCACATCGCACTAGAAGTCTCGCACGGTTCGACAAAAAGTCCGAGGTTTTAAAAAGTCTCAAAATCCCTGTAAATATATTTGATAATTCTTAAATTAATCAAAAATACACTCGAAATGTAAAATATACGACTCAGTTTAATTAATGGAGATCCCTTACAAATCTGAAGGAATTAGAATACGTGATCTACTACAATACAATTGCGTTTTACTGCATAACTTCACCAATAATATATAACAATTGTTGTAAAGATCAACAGTCTACGCTATAAGTAGGTGGTAATATAAGCAAGTGTTAATGCATAATAGGTGATGTAATCGGTTGCGGAAAGTCCAGATGGGGAGTGAACTGAATGTATGTCATATAAGAACATTGAAAACAATAAGAAGGCAAGAAGACTGACACATTTCTAAAAGTCCAATTCTGTAAAATTCCCGGACCCACGAGAATCAAAGACGTGCACAATTTTGGAGTAATTTCCGCGACGTTTATTTATTTCGCAATTTTTTTATCCATAAGCACTAATTTATCTTCATCAGTACATATGGAATACTGACGAAGTTCCGGATGAAGCGAGGTCGCGCGAGGACGATGAGAGTTCGGCATGAAATCACGCGATCTTGGTTAGGCTTAGCTGGTTCTCAACACCATATATCATGCACTTTATTTTAAGTTAAAGCGTAGTTGAAACGCTCATAAACGTTTATCTTGCTAATCTAGAGCTTTTAATCAACTGATTCGTTTGACGTAGTCGAAATGGCTTTGTGACAAAAATAAATTTGCTGTTTTCAATAAAAACAAATCAATTAATTTACCGCAGTGCAAACCTTCAAGTTCAAACAACTTAATTACACGCGCGCTATATTTAGTCTTTCAGAAATGAAGCCCCGAAGCATAATAGCGGAATTTCGTATCGTTCAATGGCATTGTTTAAAACTTTAAATGTCAAAGAAGTATAAAAACTGGACACTTCTGATGTGACAGTGATTCATATTTCCAGGGGGGAGGGGGTCACGGTTTTTAGAGGGTTATTTGTCCTCTGGTTGATGTAATTAAGACATAATTGTTTACGCCTTATTCTGTCAACAATGGCAATTTGCGTTGGCCACGCAACGTCTAGATTAATCCGCGTATGATCTCGCAGATCTATGGTATGTACCCTGTACGCAAGATTATGCTATACGTGATCTTACGGGGGTGTTTACATGGAGAAGAGCCAATGAAGGTCATATGATTAGTCTTAATCCCTAAACTGGAAACTTTGTTACGTGCGCACAGAAGAATTATGTTCACCCAAAAAATTAATCCGTATACGAGACTGTTCAAGCGGGGCTATAGACTAATCTCTTTATCAACAAAACTTCGGCTGTTTGGAATGTAAGTACCTGAAAAATAAATCAACAATCAACTGATGTTTTGTTATTATTGGGCCACTGGCTCAAACCGTTCATGATAATTTCTTACGAGCTGTGAGGAATAGTTTGTGTATCTCATTTCATTTATACATGCAATTTCTTCAGTTTCTACTTACACAAATAGAAGTACGTTGTAGTTCCTTTCGTTTATTTTATTTTATTTTATTTTATTTTACAAGTTTGCCATTGCAATAGATCTATATAGAGTACTATGGTTACCAATGACTGGAATTTCCACACAGAGATAGTTCTCCAATAACGGGGTTCCAAAAAAGAAAAATTACGGTATATCTAATTATTTTGAAGTTAAACACAAATACAAGAAGACAAAGCGAACGTATTGACGAACAAACGACCAAAAACTAAATTTAGCAACATGTTCGAGTTGATAAGTTCATTAGTGGGCGAGTGGTGTGACATTTAATAAAGTGATTTCAAAAAGTGATTCGTATTTTTACAGTTTACTGAGATGAACAATGTATTAGTGCGTTGTTTTAGTTAATGAAAACGTAAAAATATCGGTATCCTATTTCGCAAACCACTTCCTACCAAGTCTACTTGATTCCGTATAAAACCCCTTGTCTACAATCGATTTTTCAACTACAGCAATCTTAATCTTTTCTTATTATTTATAGAACATGACTACTCCTGTTAAAGAAATTGTTATAGTTGGCGATGGAATGTGTGGGAAAACGTCCACTGTAGGCGTCTACCTCGGAAACCGATTCACGACCGACTACATACCGACAGTGTACGAGAACTACACGAGCAAAGTGAAGTACGAAGGACGCAACATCTCATTAAGACTATTGGACACTGCTGTGCAGGAGGACTTCGAAATTTTCCGACCGATGTTATATCGTAAAGCTTCGGTATTTGTCGTCATGTATTCGGTAGATCGTCCCGAGTCTTTGGCGAACGTCTACGAAAAATGGGTACCGGAACTAAGGCAATATTGCCCGGATGTACCAATCATTTTGGTGGCAAATAAAACTGATCTTCGGTACACCTCGTCAGTAGTCGGTCAGTTGTCGGAGAACGATGAAAGGCCGGTGTCCTCATCCGAAGGGCGGGCAATAGCGAGGAAAATTAAAGCGGTGGCATTTCGAGAATGTTCAGCCTTGACAGGACATGGTGTAAATGAGGTATTCAAGGCTGCTTTGTTGGCGAAACCACAAAAGAAACGGACACCATCTTGGAAATGGTTTACGAATACAATTACTACAAAAGAAAAGTAACACGTGAACACGTTCATGCGTGTTGAAGATATCGACATTCGTGTCACATACGAAGTATCCGAGCTACTACGTGCGTTGTATTGGCAGGGAACTTGTCCACGAGACTCGATTCATAACAAAACTTTTCGAGACGAATTAAACCAAATCCGAGAAAGACCCAATTCTCTTCAAGATTCGTTGATAATATGTCACCTCACCCGGGGGGGGAGGTACAGATAAAATCGTACAACCAGAGGGGCGATGACCAAAGCAAATTGAAGTAACCGTACAGTTAATATCAATTGGATAAAATCATACAAAATATACCAGTAATGACGAAATGCGAGAACAATAATTAGAAGTAGTAGCTCACACAAACCCTGGTTTGTCGACGATTTTCTTTTCCTGACAGAAGCGAATGAGCGAACTCAAAGTCAAAAGTATGAGTACGAAATTGTAAAGTAATTTAATCAATTACTGCGGGCAGTGCACCCATGTAAATGATAGCACCTTGTAAAAAAATTTAATATTTTAATATAAAATTTATTTTCGTACATTATTGAATATTCAATAGTTAGTGACATATAGTAGTAGAACTGCAAATCAAGACACAACTGGGGTATATTTTCGTACAAGCACTTTGAGTGTTACAATTTTGAGTAATCAGCAAAAAATTGGTCTTTATAATTATTCAGTGGGGAATTCCGGGAAGAGTGAATACAAGGGAGATGAAAAATTATTCCATTTTTGTAAAGTTTAAATACATCTGCAACAGGGAACAGACTTAGTGTGATGGCAATGTGAAGATGACGGCCATTAATAAAATGAAATTGAGAATATTGTACACATGAATAATTAAAAATCGCAGGCGAGTTGTAGGGCGTGTTTATATGAGTCCAGCTAACCGGGAAATTCACCTGAGTGAGATCTGAATGCCCTTTGTTAACACATATAAAATTCAACTTGTGTTCACCACAAGCTATCTCAGTCATGAGTGGGATAGAATTTTCTACATGAAGGTTTTATCCACCTGACCGGGATGGACATTTCTTGCCGGTTTTGACCTATAAAGGCCGATTTAAACTACACAACCTTTGCCTAAAACTGTCGCATGCAACCCGTTTACAACTGAGTTGTACTGTATAAATCGAGCATACAACTCCCCTAAGGTGAGTTAGCCTGCTTGGCAGGCGTTCTAACTTGGCCCGATTTTAGGGACCGCCTGCCATGCAGGCCAAAGGTGAGTTGGGTCATAGAATAAAGATCCATATAGAAGGGCCACTTACGTCGGAAGCTTTGAAGTTTCTGTCCTCGCGCATGTCGCATTACGCATGTTGGCCGCCATTTTCCTAGCCAGTCAATGACATTTTACTGGCCAATAAACACGCTGTACTGGCTGGCTGCTCCGCCTTCTGGCCAGTAAACTGCATATTTGTGCATAAAAAAAACGAGGACACGTTGCACGGCTGATGTGGTTGGGTGCTTGATTTACACTGACAGCACAACTCAGATTGTAAGCGGGATGCAAGCGACAGTTTAGGTAAAAGTTGTGTAGTCTAAATCAGCCGTCATATAGTGATGAACGACATGGTTGGAAGATACAAACAAAAAATAAAATTAATAGACCTAAACAGACACTATTAAAGTGGCAAGGAAACCAAGCGGTTTTTTAAAGGTGATGTAAAGTCCGTAATGTAAACAAACGCTTTGTTTACATTTTGAACTCAGTGCTACAGTTGTAAAATATGATTAGATATATATTATACTGAATTATTAACACTCTTCTGGTTCGCTATGCTTGTAAATGAATACAGACTAGAGATTCAATTCAAGAAAATTCGGAAGGTGCCATTGGAATGTAGGCCTGCGCAGAACGGACTTTACAGCATCTTTAAGTACTACATGCATGTTAAGGGGGGTAATGACAATATATCATTTTTTATTTTCTCATTTAAAAAGACTATATATAATACTCTTTTTCATATCTTGCTTACTTCTACAAATATTTTGATCGAAAGGAGTGAAATGGCCACCATCTTCATTTTTGTAGATATGCATGTCACGTCACAACAGGGTCACGCAAAATTTTTATCTGGACAACCACTAATCATTTTGCACTCAAAACTACACTCTGTCGAAATATCAAGATCACTCAAGTGAAAATATTTCAAGAAGCAAGATATAAAAAATCGGTAAAAGAAGTTAACATATAGTTTCATAAGTTCTTTCAAATGAAAAAAATGAATATTCATATTGCCATTTCCCTTTATAAATATTTCGAAGACGTCAAGTTTACAAAATATAGGTATATGAACACAGAAATAATGAAAAGCAGGTATATGAACACAGAAATAATTCACCACACTCAGGTAAACTTCCAGTTCAACCGGGCGCAAATAAACACGGCGTATGCGAGGCAGACAAGGCAAGCTTTTCTTTATTCATTAACCGATCCTTTTTATGATGATTCGTGGTTACTTGCGCCAGGTTTTCATTGATGATTCATTTCCGCCATCTTGCTATTAGGCTTGTGCAGTAGAAGATCTTTGAATTCAAAAAGTGTCTGTTTCAAAGCGTCTCGCACAGCGTCGGAACTACACGTAATACAATCGACAAGACACGGATAGATTTCGACCACTTGTGACCATAGTTTAGGATCCACTGAAAAAGTCGAGCAAGAGGTTTAAATTCGTTTGTCGATCTCTTTTAGATAGTAGTCTGTCGCCTCTTCTTAAGGAATGTCGCCTATCGGTCATAACCCTTTGTGGGCCTCGTTATTGTGTGAAACTAACATTTCTCCTGGGACATTTTGATTGGATACCAAATATAAACTTTACTGTGGGTCGAGAGTGAGACTATATTTGTAAAATAGAGCCTGATACTGAAGCTAGGGTTCCACAAGCTCTCGTATGATTCTTCACAGACTTTACCACAAGCGTATACAGTCTGTCCACAGGCTACATGTAGAACGTGCTGTACAAGTTGAATTTTGGCCCCGCTCTCATTTCGCACCGGTTTCATGAAAACGGAGCCTTACTTGCTAAACGGCACATCGGTAACAATTTGTTGGAATAAATTGTACTGTACAAACAACGCAACAGACTTACCTTTACAGCTACTGGAAGGGGAATTTGAAGTTTTCTTTAAAGATGACACCAAGGTTGCCATCGCTTTTATAACGAACGTTACTTCAGCCATTCTCGTTCTGAACAGGAAATATACGTATAAGACGAGGTAGAGGAAGTAATGGTTTCAAAGTTGTCTGACTATATTTTCGCCTGAGTCGCAAGTGAAAAGAATGTCTGATGACTTGCGTCGCAGACGCTCTGCCCGCGGCGTAGCCTCTGTCACAGACGTTACTAAATTAATAACGTCTGTGAAGTTTGGAGCGATTGCTTGTTCCTGCATCCACTCCGAGTTTTAAGTCAAGTCAAGTCACAAGTCATAGTTTTGTTAGTGACCAAGTCAAGTCGAACATCATTCTGTACAGTTCTTTTTACCGAATGGGGAAATCCATGACAATCTGGGGCCGGTTGTACGAAGGCCGGATAGCGCTATCCACCGGATAATGATTTTTTCAAGCTTTGTTAAATCAGTCGTTGATTGGTATAACTCATATTAAAGTTTAGTGTTTTATAAACGTTTTAAAGTTTTATAAATGTTTTTTATACTTCTTGTGTCGTTTATATCCGTAGTTTCACAGTTTTTCAAGCATTTTACAAAGGTTGAAAAAATCACTATCCGACCTTCGTATATAACCGCCCCTGGCCGCACTTGTCACTGGGAATCGATGAATTTCCAGTGCTAGTTGTGGAAAAATTATTTCCACTAGATATTTACGAGTTTACGTTTCACTTGAGTTTGTAACTAGTCACTTCTTGGAAGCCCAAGCCAAGCCAAATCAAGTCACAAGTCGTTAATCTCAATAACAAGTCAAGTCACAAAAATTGCAACTCGAATCCGTCTCGATTCCAAGTCCCATGAGTTGAGTCTATACAACTGGTATAAGAGATTGTGATTGGCATGAGCATGATGGTGTTTTGACGACAGCGGGTGTGCCAAATGTGTACATGTCTAAAGGCGCTTTTCCAGTCCTCGCACGAAGCACCTCGCAGCTCGCTGCGAGTGCTTGCATCTAATTAAAATTAACGGTTTAGCATTGTGATTGGATGAAAGTGCTCATGCATCACTCACTGCGGGTTGCGAGGAGCTTCGTGCGAGGACTGGAAATCCGCCTTAAATTACCGAGGGTCAGTGGCCACGTGACTGCAAGTGTAAAGAATAGCACGTTTACCTGGGTAAAGGACATTTCCCGCCAAGTTTATCGTCCTCGGTGTATTTAGAAAGAACTTCTTTACAACGGCCCAGCAGAGAGTCGATGGCTAGTTGCGACACTTTCGCTTCTGAAAGGAATAGAGTATAATGGAAAACGTTAATCATGCTAATAGGCAAATTTGGCTAACGTGTGTCGGTGTGTTTATACCCAATTGACAACTTTAGATAACTCGCACGCCTAGTTACTATTGTTCTACAATCCAGGCCAAAAATCATGTGGACACTTAATCTGCTTTTGAAAAAATCCGAACAGCTAAAACTTGAATTTACTCACATACCCTCCACTCCCCCTCTTCAATGTTGTATATCCGAATTATCCACACTTCGTATTTATGAAAAATCCCATTCAACATCGGTTTGGAGGGGGATATTTATTTAGAGATACGCTATTCGAAGCCAATGTCTGTGGGTTGTCCACAACTTTTTGGCCAGGATTGTAGTTTACAAAAGCATAGAATAGAACAAAGGAAACTATAAGCTTCAGAATTATCTACATGAGTGAATAACTCTTATGCTTATATAATGCTTAGTTAGGGACCGGTCATTATTTATGGTGGGGGGTGGCACCGAAGAGAAATGTTTTCCGTGTCAAAAATTTTGCTGACCCAACCATTAAAAAGACAAAAATTTGATTACCCAACCTCAAATATCAATTAAAAAATAACTACCCACCCCTGGCCAAAAACTTAACAAAAGGATACCATTCAGTTGTCATGCATGTCCTTTATCACTTCAGTGACATGAGTTTGATAACGGCTTGTGAAATTTTCTGCAGTCTAAAGTTTCATGTTGTCTGCACATGTACTTTCTTTGGAAACACAATTTGTTTTGTCAAACTATGATCAAGATAGTGACTCTGATTGATTCACATATTGTATTGACAAATGACTGTTGACATTGCTGTTTTCAGTCTCCAATATTTCAGTGGGTCATGCTTTGGAAATGGCAATAAATTTGTATTACCCAACCCTTGAGTTGTTTTGTTTTTCATTTACCCAACCTTTTACTTACTCAAAATTTCGTTTACCCAACCCTTTTCTCTTCGGTGCCACCCCCCCCCCGCCTTAAATAATGACCGGTCCCTTACCTTTACTCTGCTCTATGCTTCTGTGAACTAGAATAATAAAGTTATGAATTGGGTAGCAGTTCATAACATTCACTCATTCACGCAGCGAATAAATTTCACTCACTTAGCGAATAAAATTTGACATTGTCATTGGCGTGTTAAATTAAACCACCTTGCAATTCCATTCACAAATTTAAATAAACATGTAAATATTTTCTCTTCAGATAGACTAAAAAGGTTTGCTAACAAGAAATGAAAACAATGCTCAAATGGCGTAGGTGACTGCAAAGGTGTTATCACTCGTCCATGTTTCATCGCCAACACTATTAGTGTCTGTTAGGTCAATTAATGTTTATTTAAAATGTATTCTCAGAATGCTGGAAATGCCATTTCCGGGGATCAAATTTTCCGGGGAGGGGGGGGGGGGAAATGCCCCAGATCCCCCTAGAACCCCCACGATATTTCATAAAGTGTCCGCCACTGAGCTGTGGCTAGCCACTGACTGGAACGCTATCTTTGTACCTTTCTGAGTGCCCCTCGCATCGCCATTCGAAAATGAAAATTCCAAAAGGATTTCAAAACATGTCTTGGCAAACTCCTCTCTCAATGGAAATTTGCTGCCGTCCAAACCTAAAGATTAAACATTGAATTGAACGGTTGTCGAAAATACAGTAAAACTGGTGTTTACACAAACCAAAACGTACATAATATTGCCATGCAAAACTACGAAGAACATACAAGTTGTTGACCAAATTTTATGCAAGTTTGCTGTTTAAAATTTAGTCCTAGTTTGCAGCAATTGTGCTCCTTAATTTTTAGACTCCGTGTAGTTTTAGTAGTTGATGCTAATTTTGTTTTAGTTAAAATTTAGTTCTGGTATCTAAGGCCCGGTTTAGACGGCGAACTTTTCATGCGCCGAATCTAATTGTCGTAGATACGGCAAAATATCGGGAGCTGATTTAGACGTCGAACTTAATTGTACCGTACCAAATTGCGAGGACACTATATTGGACATATTTACAATGCAAATATATGATAATCATATTATGATGTTAAAAAATAATTATGCATTAGGTTCGGCGCATGAAAAGCACGGCGTCTAAATCAATGTCGAACCTGTGTCGCATATACGACTTGTCTTGTCGCATCTTCGAGTCATGTCGAACTTAATCAAAACCTGTCGAACTTAATTGATTTAGACGCCGCTCCAGCGTCGCACTTAATTCTTGCATTAGATTCGGCGCATGAGAAGTTCGCCGTCTAAACCGGGCCTAAGGGTTTCAGGTTTAGTCCTACTTTACTAAAATAGCACTAAATCAGTCATCTCATATTCGACCATTAGACTTGCCTACAAGTCGATCTCGAATAATTCGACCATAAGAAAAAAAGTTTAATACGAGTTTAGTGCAAGAAGTATGTGCAAGGCATACACACCTTCCAAAGTGGAGTTTGTTGCAGAATGTATGGAGCCTTTGTTTAATAACGTCATTATTCTTGACAGAAAGTCACGTGGGACGATATGTGAGTGAGGCAGGATGTCATCACGAATAACATGAAGTACCTGAATCAGAAACAGAGAACAGAATAAAGTGATAGAGAATGGCTCTATCCAGTCATAGTCAATAGATTAAGAACGTTAGGAGACTCGATGGAAACATAATAGACCTCATTATTTACGTTTTTTGTCTTGGTTTATGCAAAAATGGTCGGTTCATCGTCACATGTGTGTTGTTTTTTTGCCCAACCAACCAATAGCAGTGTGTTAGTTTAATCACCCATGCAGTCGTGATATTCCACAATGGTTAAATGAAAACATAGCTATCGGTTGCTTTAGCGAAAATACAATACACACGTGACGATGAACCGACCAATTCTTGCATAAACCAAGACACGGGGCCTCCGATACAAAATATAATACAAATACAAAAATACAGATATACATACAAACCTTGAGATCCAGTTGTTCGTCGTTCAAGTGATTCTCCAATGTTTGGGTGTCAGGAGGGTTACTGAAAATGCATAAAAAGAAAGAAAACGTTTAGCTTTAGTTTATTTTACTTTCTTCAGCTACGAATGAAGTGCAAACCTGGTAGCAAACAGAAAATCTTCAAACGTCGCTGCAAGTTCTTCCCACATTGAATGAAACAGCTCTGAAAAGAAACGTTTTCGCTTAATATTATTTATCCGTCAACATACAGAGGTAGTTATTATATAGTCCTATAGATTCAATATCTGTGATCTTTTAGACATGGCCTGAAATCATTGACATGATTGTTCAAACAGGGCTTGAAATAACGTTCCCAAAGTTCCCGATCATGGTGATCGACTGTCATGACTTTCCCCCTGCTTTTTTCAGTATGGAAACCCTGCTTTTCCGCCGATCATAAGCAATTGCTTGTCCATCATTGATCGGCTGTTATTTCAAGTTCTGTTCTATTTCCTTATTAATTTGCATATCATCGATGTATAACCAGTTGAAATGTGGCTTCTATACAATAAGAAGTAAAGCCAGTTTTCCACTAGGCGGAATTTTGCGCGCGAAGCGGTATTTTTCTTTGTCTTTTGCAATTAGTTCCACCCGAGAAATCACAAGACAAAGAAAAATTCCGCTCCGCGCGCAAAATTCCGCCATGTTTAAACGTGATATGCAAATTACTAATAAAGGGGTAGAATAAATTATGTCCATCATTTCTGGCAATGTTAAGCTAGAAGGTAGCGCGAAATTAGATCTCATTTCGAAATTTCTACTAAAAATGCCATCTTACAGCATTTTTAATAACCATGGCAGCTTATTGAAGAATAGGAATACATTTTTCTTTTTCAAAAGCAAGGATAACTATAGAATGAATTTTATACAAAGAAAGTAAGAGACTTGTCAAAGAAAATTGCTCGTCTCGGATTTACTCATGGCCTTAATTAAAACACGGGCTAAAAACAAATACTGTATATATTCATACCTGTACGGGTATCTTTATAAGCAACAGGTAGTCCTTTTCCTAAAATTGTTATCAACGAATTGATGGCCAGTTTCCACGTCGTTTGTCGTTGACATTGATACTTTAGTTTCAACGGATGATGCAAGGTCTGAAATAGAATATTCATTACACTATGATCAGTACAAATTGCTCATTACGCTATGATCATGCAACTCTTGTTATCGTTTGACCGGGGCATGAGGGTTGAGAAAACTTTCGTGCAAACTCTCGCTTCTCAACTCTCATCAACTCTTGTTCTCGTCTGACCGGGGCATAAGAGTTGAGAAAACTCTCATGGAAACTCTCCCTTCTCAACTCTCATAAACTCTCATGCAACTCTTGTTCTCGTTTGACCGGGGCATGAGAGTTGAGAAAACTCTCATGCAAACTCTCGCTTCTCAACTCTCATTCTCGTTTGACCTGGTTTTAACAATTTTAACAGTTTGAAAAATCTGTATCTCTAATGGGTAGCGTCAATCGATATTCAGTTGCGGATATATTGGTGTTCTGCCAAGACAATTTTGGGGTAAACATCAATTAAAACATTTGGCCGATGCAGGTCCAGTCGGAGTCATAGTTCTAAATTCATTTTGCCGAAGAATATCTTCAAAAATTTCGATAGCATAAAAACCACACCAGACCTACCTTAACAATGCTAAAAAACACGTGATCTTGAATCACACTCTCGTTGCCCGCACAGACTTGGTACAAGTCCACGACGCGTTCCAAGCAACTCTCGGAAAACGGTACCAAAGTTGGTATGACCCAGTCCTTTTTCTTATTCGCTCCGTTCTCGGCTTCGTCTACAGTCGGGGGATGACAGGCGAGGTTCACTACTTGTAGTAACATTGCAAATACCGTCGGATACATTGGCTGTGAAGCGTTGTCCAACACGGATCCCTGCTCTGGGATTGGCTCGCGTAGCATATCCAATGCATTTGAAATCGACACTTGCAATGACGTCAGAGCAGAATCGTGCGCGGTCGTTAGGAATGGGGCTGAGTCTATATGCACAGGTACCCTGAGCGAACTCACTAAGACTTGCGATAACTTCTGTAAATCAGAAAGTCCAAAGCGAGAGTAGATACGGGGAAATAAATAAGGGAAAACGTCGATTAAAGCGGATAGGAAGGATTGCGTAGGATAAACGCGGTATTTAACCACTTGTCCATTAGAGTCCTTCTTAACCCTAAGTGTATGTGTTTGTGAAGTGGATGTTGTGCCGATATTATGCCAAACACGCCAAGCATTGACCCACAAATTTATATCTTCGCTTGCCTCACAGAATTTCGGTTTTACTTTAAGTTTAGTTCGGCCTTTGCTTACAAAGTTTCCACTTTTCGCATTGAATACGGCTTCTGGTTGTTTCGTCTCGTCGTCGGGCGTCGGATCTTGAACGATGTCTAGGAAGCTTTTTAATGCCGCCAGCGACACCTCAGCGGACTTGCTCAGAGCGGATGCTTCGATGAATTCCAAGAGAAGAGCCCAGGCCCTTGGGAACTCGTCCAACGATGCGAGGAGTTGACGTCGCGTATTAAATACACGCGCCACGCCGTTGAGGGACAACACGCGTGTTTCGTCCCATTGTTTCTCGGCCGTATCACGTGAATGGTGCATGAGGATCCTGCCTTGTGTGGCCGAGTCACTAGGTGGGGGGACTGAGGCGGCTGCACTTGACATTGTCTTCACACGCTCTAACAGAGGAAACAGAACCTGGCGGGAAAAGATGCGAGTTAGAACAATGGTAGAGAATGGTAGAAAACCAAATTACCCCCACACAAAAATGAACACGAAACAGTGGACCTATTCCCTAATGAACAACATTTTGATCTAGACAAAAATTTCATCACAGTTTGAAAGAGCATCACAAAATTAGTAATATTCCGAAGTTTCGTTGTGAAAATGTTGTAAAATGCGGATAATATAGCCCTGCGAAGTTTGCCGTTTTTCAGTCATTTTGTATTACGCACGGGAAATTGATACCGCTTTCTGAAAAAAGGTATCAATTTCCCGTGCGTAATACAAAATGACTGAAAAATGGCAAACTTCGCAGAGCTATATTATCCGCATTTTACAACATTCCGCAACAAAACTTCGGAATATTACTGATTATATTACTTTGTCTAGGCTGGTCTAGATCAAAATTTTGAAATTAGGTAATAGGTCCGTTGACGGGAGCTGGAAACCCGTAAAATTAAGACGCAAATGCCTAAAATCCATCTTTATGAATAAAATTTCACAGCCACACCGTACCCAATCTAAGGGAATCCTTCCAGTTAAATAATGAAACAGATAACAAGTTTGGAACAAGTTGTTATCATCTTGTAACAAGGTTGACGAGGCCAACAGACTCGCAACAAGTTGTTCCACCAAGTCTGATATCGTCTGCACGTAACGGGTTATTAGCGAGCTTAAGATCTACAACGCGAACTTACGACGCGGACGTCGCATTAAACAAGTTTTATTTTAAAACGATGGCAAATACCATTAAAATATTTGTATCACAGTAAATAAAATGAAATTATACTGGAAAAAATATACAACATAACAGAGGCTAGCAATATATTAAGAAGATATTTTTTATCATAAGTTTTTACGACTTCTATGACGACGAATCTTTGCAAATATCACGTCGTCTCGGATGGTAGTTTTGGCGGGAAAATGTGCATTCGTAACAATAGTCTATAAAGCCTGGTTTCTATCATTTCGTACGGCTGTTAACGTGTCATCACAGTGTCGCAAATCTCAAAGAAATAAACTCTGACAACTCTGACTAGGCTTACACTCTAAAACTAGGCTTAGGTAAGCACGTCCGCGACACAAATTCGCGTTGTAGATCTTAAGCTCCCTATTAACAAGATGATGACAACAAGCTCATAGCAACTTGTGACGAAAGCCTATACTAGTCTTGTTGGAACAACTTGTAGCAAGTCTGTTACCGCTATTAACCTTGTAACAAGGTGATAACAACTTGTTCCAAATTTCTCACAACAACTGGGAATAAGCATTGAGAACACATCCTGATATCGGCTTGACAACAACCTTGTTAAAACTTGTTTGCAGATCTGTAGCGACTTGCGCGTTTTTACACGTTTAGAGGATTACTAACTATAGGTCTATTCACTGATTTATTGATCAATTTATTAGATCTACTGCAGTCAGAGACATACCTGCCAAAGCACGGTGTACCACGTGACTTTATCCAACAGAGAGCCATGCGCACTGATGGTCGAAAATAATGTCTGACCAGCACTCTTGCGGACCGCGGGCCTAGGATCAACACATAGTTCACCCATCTTGGAATATAGAGCCATCCACAGGCGGTCAGAGGCAGGCAGTGTGGGCTCATCTCTTGTTGGCTCTGATGCCTGGGTGTCTAGTTGCTCCAAAGCTTCTTGAATGGTGACGCGATTTTGATTGAGGAAATCTGAGATGTTCCACTGAAATATAAAAACAAGGATTTTAAGTGAATTTCAGTCTTCGAATGCCAATAGTCCTTTTCCGCGGTTACTGAATCGGCACATTTAGTTTAGTTTAGCTTGGCTTAGTTTAATTGAGTTTTTTTAGTTTATAGTTTAGTTTAGTTTAGTTCAGCTTGGGTTAGGTTAGGTTAGTTTAGTTTAGCTAGCTTAGTTTAGCTTTGTTCAGTTCAGCTTATAGGTTAGGTTAAGTTAGGTTAGGTTAGGTTAGGTTAGGTTAGGTTAGGTTAGGTTAGGTTAGGTTAGGTTAGGTTAGGTCAGCTTAGTTTAGGTTAAATTAGATTGTAGTTACAATCCTGAACAAAACATCTGCGACACTTCCAAATAGTTGACAAACTTTCGTAATATTATCGCCAATTTAGAAAAACGTCCTCCTTACCCTCCACCATTCAATGTTAATTGCATTCCCAGAATACGGCGGTTAAAAGGTCCAACATTGATTTGGGGGGGGGGGGGCAAACGAGTACATTATTCCTGTCTAATATAAAAAGAAGCCACGAGGGAATGTTTTAATAGAGTGTCGCAGATGGTTTTGACCAGGATTGTAGTTTAACTTAGCTTAGTTTAGCTTAGTCCACTCCAGTTCAGGTTTGGTTAGTTCAAGTTTAATTTAGTTTAGCTTAGTATAACTTAGAAACTGTTTTTACCATGAATATGCTGGTTTTTTAACCCAATTTAAATTATAGCACTAGAGAGTATTTTAGTAACAAATTATACGTCTGCGCATATGTGTTTGTGAATGTGTATTTTCAAGAATTTTAGTCTAATCTTATTCATTTTCTTAAATAAAATACATGTAAAAATTAGTTTATCTTTTTTAATATCTTTGTAAACCTAACATACTTCAGCAGTGGAATTAGATATATTCTGGAGCTGTAAGTTTAGTGTCAAATAAACTATCAAACTAACTAAACTAACTTAGCTTAGTTTAGCATAGTTCAGTTCAGTTCAGTATAGGTTAGGTTAGGTTAGGTTAGGTTAGGTTAGGTTAGGATCAGTCTAGCTTAGTTTAGTAAAAAACCTCCAGGGCTAGGTTAGTTGGTTATGGTCAATGCATCAGCTAATGGCCGAACAAAAACACCTGAATGAAGACTATATAGCATTTATATACAGTATTTCCATCTCTGTAGCATCACAGCTTTTCAGGCATTTTTACACCATCATTGCAAAAAAAACTTTAACAATTAATGAAATGGTCATCAACAGTTATAATATACAAGTTGCCGAATGGCAGATAAACATCTGATGTTCATATCAACTACTGTATTTGCAAACCACACTTGCCAACAACTTTACCATCATCATAACCATCATCGAAATTTTACACATCATTAAAATAACCATGATCTTACCAGCAATCCAACGGCAGTCAAACTGATATTTAACTCCTGCGGTTGCAGACCATATTTCCCGACAACCTCTATGACCAGTTTCAAGTTGGAATGAGGAATCATGGGAAGGTAATCCGTCACAATGAGTTGAAGACTTTGAAATCCAGCTTGTATTATGGCGGAACTAAAATGAAACACACATGTTAGTTATCGTGGCCGTATGTTTTAACGGCTTTAGAATTACAGATGATGGGTGGGCAGACAGAGCATAACCCCAGTCTAATGAATAATGTAAAATAACAATATAAGACAACTAACGCCCGTATTCTAAAAGCTCACTTACACTCAATGAGTGGCGGTTCAATCTGAGCTTCTCTTGAGTGTCAATGCTGTTTTTGAATAGCTGGAGAGCGAGTAGTCACATAGTAAAGTATGACACTCGTCCTCCACCTGTTCAAAAACAGCAATGACACTCGAGCTGAACTTCCACACATTGAGTGTGAGTGAGCTTTTAGAATACAGGCGTAAGTCACAGTATGATTGTACCACAGCATATCTAGTTCTCTTTGCCCTCGGCTGTCGCCTCATGGAATGGAAAATTCCATCTTTCATCTCATGAAAATATTTTTACTATTGCACTGATAAACGTTCATTATTTGTATAATATACGCATAAAACCTTACCCTTTTTGATTGGTGGCCGCTCCAACCACGCCGACGATAACTGGCCATCCCGTTCCTAAATTTTGACCATTCAACTGAAGAATCTAAGCAAACAACGTAAATGCATGTAGCGTTAGTGAAAAAATGACCATGGCCATACTTTGTTTCATTTGTCAAATAGAAAATACATAATTATCTGATGTAAACCATTTACCTTCAGAACACAATCCAGTTGTCTGTTCCGTACATCGCTGTTGTTATTGCCCGACATATCTTGCAGCGGAGATAGAATCATAGATTGCAGTTGCTGAATTGTAAAATGCAAACATAGTGAAATTCATTCATGTTTCATTAAACAGGGTTCGTACACCTTCATTATCTCAAAAATTTAGAACTTTCAAGGATTTTTTCGCACTAAAATAAAAATCCAGCCTTTTCATGCAGGATCTCCAGGGGGCGTACGAACTCTGATTAAAAATTCATCAATCATCGACAAGTTACATTTTATTTTAAAAATTTGTGAGAGGAGGTTTTTTTGTATGTTAGGTTAGGTAACACGTATATAATACACGATTGATTTGGTATGACTACAACCAAAAGTTTAATATATGAAAAGATTTTGGCGGATATGCCAAAGTCAAAAAGAAAATGACGTCTGATGTTCAGTAAGTTCTGCTTATACTCGAGACCATAGTTTATAGAGATACGATTGTCTGGAAAATAAGAAGAAGGCATTGTGCTATGTTTTGTCTGAGTTTATGTTAATGTGTACGCGGTCACGCGGTGATCGACTGTGGGATCGTTGCTTGTTCTCATTGTTACCCACGCTGGCACTGAACTTTCAAGACTATATTCTTAAAATGATTTCATTTTGCACGGTTACTTACCGAATTAGCAACAAGCGGGGGTTTATGATCGTGGTTCAATGCCTCGCGAATCAACATCGTCACAGCCTCGGCGCCATATTCACGCATGCGCGTGTGACGATTCTGGCAAACCTGCAAAGAATTACAAAGAGCCAAATGTTCACATCATCAATTTTAACAATTTCACTAATTGACGTAAGCCAGTAGAGAGGTTCAGATTTGACTTCGACTACCGGCGACCGCTACCATTAAGGGATCATTGACCAATCAAATGCGTTTGATATATCCGATTAACCAATCAGATGCGCACTAAGCCAGTTAGAGGTAGCGATAGTGGAAGTCAAATCTGAACATCTATACTATTACAGTCTGGTACTTCTTTTTTATCAGCCAAGTACCACGGTTTTTGCAGCCAGGTACGCCGCACTCTTGATATCTGCGTACTTACTTTTTGCTGGTACAGTGGTACTAATATTTGACCTTTCCAAGTAGGTATATGTGTATGTCTAACATGATTGGACTGATGGGGTCGTGGGACTATTACTAACGCATGTCGTGATGTTGTGATGTTGTATGATATATGCAATTGTGCTCTTGTTTGAAGAGATTTGTACATGGAAATTTCAAGTGGAATTTTTATACATTTGCCAGACGTAACCAGGAGCAGATGCGAAAATTACACCTGCCATATCAGCCCTCTGGCAGGAGTCGAACCTTGCATGCGGCGCTGCGATACCGGTGCAGCGCTTTAACCAACTGAGCTACAGGGAGACAGTTGTCGAGCTCTAACCACAAGATGTGACAAGTTCATGTATAAATACCAAGCTGATGCCAATGTACGGTCTATAGATTAATATCAGAATTTTGGCATCTCACTCGATATAACTAATTGTTGAAGGGCTTTATAGATTGAAATTGGGAGTGGAATTTTTGTACATTTGTTAGACCTAACCAGGAACAGTTGCGGAACTGTCGGCCCTCTGCCTCTGGGAATGAATGCCATTCTGAAACTTGTACTTTATGTACTTCATTTTAAAGACTAAGTACACCTTCAGCTCTAAGGTTGTGTACCAGCTGAGGCAATAATCATGGGAGTACCAGTCAGGTTCGACTAAGAATGTGGAATTATCGGACCCTGAAATGACAAATATCGCCTCGTGTTTGTATGAAAAATTCCAGCTCTCTTGCAAGAAAATTTCAGCTCTCTTTCACTTCGGATGTTTTTACCTCGAGTAAGTGAGCGGTGAGCGGTTTCCAAAGTACAGGTATCCTATGAAGATTATGCAAGCCAGTTTCCAGCAACTTTGCGATCGGAAACAACGAAGGATCCTGGTTTGAAAAAAATTATTGTTAATAAATGTTGTTATATAACTTGGTGCGTAATAAATTGATCGTGTTTGTTATGAAGTCAGGGCATACCTTGGTGGTTTCTGCTTGGTCAGCAGATTCAGACATCAGTCGACACAAAGCATCGATCAAATGATGGAGAGCCACGTCATCCAAGAATCTAAATACAACATAAAATATACATGAGGATGAAAGTAAAACAGAGATATGAGAACGATGTCTAATCTATTTTCATCACATAACACTGCGCAACCGATATTTAAGGGTTAGGCCATGCTTGGCCTCTGGGGAGGACAATTTACAAGTGGGAAAGCTATAATTAATGTTAGCTTAAACTAAGCGGTTCCATTTGCCGAAGTCAGACATCCATTGATGGACAATGCGCCCAAATTTGCTTAACTAATTGTAAGTTAGTATACGTTGAGGTGTGCTATAATCATCATTTCTTGCGGCTGAGAGCTAAGTGAATTGGGAAGGACGCACCTCAACCTGATTGAGTCGAATGTTGTCTGAGCTAGGGCCCCTCTGGCAGCCACCTTGTGACTCAAGTCTGACCACGGAGCACAGGCATGGTGAAAGGATCAGTAATCCCAACCCACCCGGTTAACGTTCCCTGTTGGAGGAAACCGGAGTACTCAGAGAAAACCCACGACTGTCGATAGAGTGTTGACGGACTCTTTTTTCATGAATGACTTGAGTCCGGAACGATAATCGAACCCATGATATCAGAGATGAAAGCCTCTTTCTCTGACAAACAATGTTACAGCTATAGGCTATTCCATTACAATGTACTCTGCTATCGTGTAAAAAATTAGAAATCATTGAGGCGAGGATTGCCCAAAGGAACCCTCCAGATAAAACATTTTGAGGACGGTAATATTATACATCACCCAGGAATTCAAGTCTCTTATTTTTTAATTACATTAACATTTTCCGTACCGTGAGCTTTCGAAAAGTCTGGACAGCATGGCGGACAAGACTGGAATTTCGTTTTTCAAAGAGGAACTCACAACCTGGCAACAAACGAAAAATTTAGTTCAAATAAAGCCAACACAACAGATTTTTACTGTATTTAAGAAAAGAGCAAAATTCTATAAGAATTGTCGTTAAATGAAGTTATACCTACCAAATTCGGGATGTCACTTATCGGTCCAGATTTTAAACTGCCACCGTCAGCGGGTATGAGCCCTAGCATCCACGTCAAGTGCTGAAAATATCGATGAATGAAAAACATTTCTCAGTCACGAAGTGGGAAGCCATTTTGCTTTTGTCTGGAGGTGAATAGGGTAAGGAGCTGAGCAACTAATCACATTGCATGAAAAGCACTATCCACTATAGTAGTATATGCTAAATGTGGATATTACCGCACCTTTAAAGTGGCCAGCAATATGTACCACGACGAGCCCAATATTCCTCCATGACAATGTGCAAGGTTCAAAATTGCTCTCATACAGCGAATGTTCTTCGATGACAACTAAATTAGTTATATAACATATGTTACTAGTAGAATCATACTAGTATACCATTGCAAATGATGTAATTTGATTGGCTACTCTACTCGCTATCTATTCATCGATAGATAGCGAGTAGCAAAACAATCATTTTCTTCCGGTTGGCGTTTTTGTGAGGTTTCTGAGGAATATTTTATGTTTGATCTCTGATTCTACTAAAACAATAAGATTATACTCGCTCTCGATTTCTATGAGGTGATAGTTGATTCGGGCTTCGCCCTCAAAATCTCGAGCTCGTAATCCAATCGTTAAATAGTAGCTTACAGTGAAAACAGACGTTGATTTTAGGGACGAGCGAACTTGCCCCAGCTACTTACTGTCACAGGACCGCTTTGGGCGCCAGGCGCCATTCCGGCAACCATAGTGGGAAAACCACTTCCGGTCGCCCCACTCTTTTCCGCGAGGTCGGACGCTTGAGACGACAAAAACTTGGGGTCACCGGTTGTATCCAACGAGGGAACACTGAGTACAGAGAGGGAACATTGGGAGGGTAGAGAAGCTTTACATACGGACATTATGAACGCGTCCCTCGGGAAAGTCAGGTCAAGTAAGCCACAACTGTTGGATAATATTTGGTAGCATTTTAAGATTCCTTCCGTCGCTGCCTCGTCATTACTGCAAATGAAAAGAAACTGTTGTCATTATGCACTAGATCAAACTATCAAATTTTCTTAGTGTGAGATCAAAGTGTGTACTCGAAATTCGACCTGGCTAGAAAATTTATAGTCCGCCGAATCGTCCAGAGCAACTTTAAACCCGACAGAATATCTTCACATACTTCTACTTTGGCTGATGATATTTTATCTGGTGGTCTAGTAGGTATATTTGTGGTCTAGTTGGTTCCTTCACGATTTACGTGCACATCATCAATACACTCTGAATTTTCCTGACAAGCTTTTGTCTTGGAAAACCCAGGTTACCGTGAACATAATTTGGCGGTAACCTAATTTGGTTTCCGTCACATGCAGGCAATCTTGGACAGCACTGCTGGGCGCAATTGCATATTAGAATTTTCCCCAGATTTGCATGATTTTTCCCAGGCAGTAGTTAATAGGGTTTTTTTCTATAAAAACTCAAGGCCTGCGTGATTATTGTTATTTGCCATGTATTCTTGTTGTGACAAAGCTTGTAAAATCAAATGTGTCCTATATCGGAGGCCTAATGGACCATTTGCATTATAGACTAAATTTTGATCTAGACAAAAATTTCATCACAGCTTGAAAGAGCATCACAAAATTAGTAATATTCCAAAGTTTCGTTGCGAAATGTTGTAAAATGCGGATAATATAGCCATGCGAAGTTTGCCGTTTTTCAGTCATTTTGTATTGCGCACGGGAAATTGACAGCCCAATCGGGTGTTGGGGCACCAATTTCCAGTTTGTAATCTAAAATGACTGAAAATTGCAAATTTCGCAAGCCTATATTATCCGCATTTTACAACATTTCGCAACGAAACTTTGGAATATTACTAATTTTGTGGTGCTCTTTCAAGCTGTGATGAAATTTTTGTCTAGATCAAAATTTAGTCTATAATGCAAATGGTCCATTACGCGAGGGTAATTGTACTGTGAGTTAGTTTTGGCTAAGAGTAAGTATACAAGTACGGGCGACTAGACAAAACTGAAATGATCGCTACTTTCCGTTATCTATCGGAATCAGTCTGTATTCCATCCGACAAAACCTACATTGCTTCCAGTAACAGCGACAAAGCAGCGAGCAAGCCACACCATGAAGAATTCAACATTTGTTTCCATACTTCGTTCAGATTATTCTCTGGTGAAAGGAAAGATAAATTTAATGAATGCTAAGAATTCTTAATCAAAAACTTTGTTGAAAATAATTTTGAATCAAATGATAGCGATATTACATTTATTAAACGACGTTTCGATGCTATGCCGTGCATCATTTTCAAGTTATATTAATTACATTTATGGGCCTTATGTTTGTATTGTTTGGTATGTTTGTTTATTGTTTTTTGTTTTTTGTTTTTTCTGTACTTGTTTGATAAATTTATGAAAGACAGAAATTTGTTTAATCTGTTTTAAGTTTCTTAATGTAATTCATCTAATTTATTACGTAACATAAATTTAAACTTTGCATGCTAACGTAATAATTTGCTAATGTAAACACGAACCGTTTTATTAAAATCAACGCAATATGTAATTAATATAACATGAAACGCACGTTGTAGCATCAAAACGTCGCTTAACAAACGCAATATCGCTATCATTTGTTTCAAAGCTAAGCAATTCGTACTCCTTCATCGCACTATACAAATAGTGAATCACCATCATAACCATTATCACCACCATCGTCATCACCACTGTCTTCACAATCACCATCACTACCACCAACATCATCGTCATTATCATCTCCATCATGACCGCCAACATCATTGCAGCCGCCATCATCACCATCACTACCATCATCACCACCCTAACTACCACTATCATTACCACCACATTCATTGATGGTATTGGTAATGGTGGTACCATGTTATACCAACCTTCGTCACTATTGCTATTCTCGACAGCCTCAGTTCCCACACCAGTCTGATCTGGTGTTTTCACTTCCTCAGGTGGTTCAATCCATCCTTCAACCTTCGTCGTCTCTTCCGTCTTCAACGTAGACTTCACAAGTTCATCAATACTGTTTACTAAAGCTAACAAAGTCTTGAAAGCCACCGTCATAGCGTACGCTTCAGCAACGTTGGGAGTGTCGATTCTGTCTAACTGTTCAAGACTATATCAAAACGAGAGAGAAAAAATTCCTGTGAAAATGACTTGCCCTGACTCTAAGAACCTTTTTAAGCCACCTTGAAAAAACCGTTGTTTTTTTCTTGATCATAAAAATTATGAAAGAAAAATATATAATGGAGGGATTTTCTGGAAAAAGAACTGTCATCAGGGAGCAGTTCTGTACATGTATGTATATATATAAATGTATTCGATATAATAGGCAATTCCAGCTTTTAGTTTATGCCTGTAGGGGACGATGGGAAGTAAGGTATCACATTGCTGATTATGCTGAAAGAATAAAAATGGTGGCCGTGTAAACACGGAGTGATAGCTTATACTTGTAAATATTGAAATATTTCGGTTGTTTCGGTAGTTTTTATTGAAATTTTTCAGCATAATCAGCAATATGATACCTTACTTCCCATCGTCCCCTGCAGGCATAAACTAAAAGCTGGAATTGCCTATTATTGTGGGACCATTTAAAGACATGTTACGCGCATACGTTCATGCACACAAACCAGTAGAGAGAAATTCGAATGTCTGTAGAAGTGGGAGACCAATGTATGATGTAGGACGTCATTAAGAAATTATTATATAATAGAATTCAAGCGCTTCCATTGGTCGACAGCCATGATCCATTAGTGGATAGACGCACGGAATTACGTCACACAAAACTCTTTGTTTTGTGCAGCCAATTTGGCTCAATCACAACACAGCACGTGACATAAGGTAGCCAATAGCATTGCCTTATTTCTATAGATCATGCACGCGTGATATTTGTAAAATTTCGACCGTTTCAAATTTCCAAATGTTTGAGTGGATAAAAAGTAAGCTATTTACCGGTTTAATTCGGGGGTTTTCTTTTTATTATATAAAACAAATAGATACGATTTTGCCGTTGTCTATTCAGTTATAGATACACAGTAGGCTATGACATAATGTGGGAAGAACAAAAAAAGTGACCCACTCGCTATACCATAATATATCATAATCAATCAAGTTCGGCACAGCGTCTAAAGTCTAAACTCATGTCAAAGCTGTGTCGCATAATACGACACTAGTTTTGCCGTATTTTGTGCCGTGTTGAACCTAATCAAAACTTGCGAAACTTTAGACGCCGCTCTTCTGTCGTACTTAATCGTTCTATTGGGTTCGGCGCATGGAAAGTTCGCCGTCCTAAACCGGCACTTAGGCCACGCGAGAATCTCGCGATTTTTGTTTGATTGTACTGCATTGTATTGAATATTTATTCGATCCGGTAACGTGTACAAAAACATTGGTTACACAAACCATAGCCTATCGAAGGGAAGATGTGAAACTCATTAGAATAACAATATAACTCATTATGTTAGTTAACGTTTATTCATAAATACGGTCCTTCACCGTCACGTGTGTATTGTATTTTTGCCAAATCCACCAATAGCAATTTCCAATTTACCCTATTGTATTGTTCGACTCACGGAACTTTCCCTAAAACATTGCTATTGGTTAGTTGGGCAAAAATACAATACGCACGTGACGGTGAAGGGCCAGATTTGATGAATAAACGTTCACTGACATAGATAATGAGTTATATTATTATTTAATTTTTTAACTTTGCCAAATTCAAATAACGTTAACACAAAAACTGGCAGGGCAATCGCAACGACATTAACCTCAGGCTTCTGCCAGCAATTTCTTTCGCTGACATAGGAAAAAAATATCATATCGGATATAAAATATCATGTAGGAAATTCGTGTCGGTTTTTGCATAGCCTATCGAAGGGAAGATGGGTTTTCCCTTCGATAGGCTATGCAAAAACCGACACAAATTTTCTACATGATATTTTATATCCGATATGATATTTTTTCCCATGTCAGAAATTGCTGGCAGAAGCCCTCGGTCAATAATGCATGACCGTGACAGGCTGAAACTGATCTAGATTAAAAATATTGAGCTAGTACTTACTATACAGGTCTAGCTAACCCTGAAGGTAACTTCACGAGCGGCAACCATACGCCATGGTAGTGAAATCCTGGAATAGGTGTACCACCATTAGCGGCGGTGTTTCCAGAGGACTGGGTCGGAGGCGCGGAATGCGATGAGGGAGAGTGGGGTGGAGTTACTGACGAGGTCTGCTGGCCAGCGCCGGAGTAAAGTGATTGGATAAAACTAGCCAATGAGTTGACGAGATCATGGAAGACTTTGGTTGAGTGCTCTTGCATATCATAATACTGACAGAATGATCTGGAAGAGGATATTAAGATGAAAAAATGTTATATTGCAGGCTGTTATATGGTCAGAGGGTTTTTTATTGCATTTTCGGGGTATTTTTTCCGAACTACAGTACTCCTGGTTGGGTCCATTCTCGTACCCAGAACCCTTCTTACGCGCGGTGCGACGAGGGGCTCTGGCCAAATCCATACATACAAACACACTCAAATATACTTCTACTTAGGTACTGGACTCTGTAGCTCAGTTGGTGCACCGGAATCGCACGGCAGGGCCGCAGGTTCGACTTCTGTGGGCCTATAGTTTCATTTTTCACAACTATCAACCTGATAAATGTATATAGATTTGCGTTCGAATATTCCATTTACAAAAAAAAACCTCTCTCTGCTATACAGTAGATCGCCTACTTAATAGACCATGGATTGTAAAATAACTGGATAGGAAACTTCCTGACGTCACAGTCTAAACCTAGTTGCAATCTGTGACGTCACGCGCATTGTCAAAGTTCTCAGCATTTTTGTTGTTTCGCTATATTTTCCGCTTTAAAAGAGTAATATTGAAGCATAAACTGGTCTAATTGTTTTAAAAACATGCCCAAGCCACGACAAAGTATTCAAGGTATATGTTTTTCGTCTTTGTTTTGTATTTTTTTACATTTGTAGCTACGGAATTGGCGTCGCCAATTTTAACGAAATTTGCGATGCATGTTTCACTGTTTAGTACTTTTATTATTATTATTATTATAAATTTCCAAACTAGCAGTAACAACTGAATTACTTTGGAATTACAGGGTATAAGAACATAGGTATTTAATCTATTCTATATTTACAGGTAAAAATAGGTAAGTTAGATAAAAATAACGATAATAATCTAAAGTTTACTTATTATTATAAGCACGAGACGCAGCAGGAATGAAACTGTTCGAAAAACGTTCAGTTCTACACCTAGGTACTAATAAGTTGGGATAAGACCTCAGATTATAAGTTTGAAGACTTTTAGGCGGTACTAAGGCATTCAGTTTATGAGTGGGTTCCAACATCTTCGAAAAAAGTCGCTTGCAATGGACAGTTCTACGTTCGTAAAGAGTCGTCAAGTTAGCTTTAAGCAAACATTCAGCATAGATAGTTCCAGGGAAAATAATTTTTAACGCCCTTTTTTGTATTTTTTCAACTTGATCACTCAGGTAATAAGGAAGGCCATAATGCCACACCTGACAAGCATATTCGACAATTGGTCGAATATGTGTACAATAGGTTGAGATCAGAATATGAGAAGGTAAAGCATTTCTTTTAAGAAGGCGCAGACCGTACAAACGCTTCGCGGCTTTCTTGCAAATGTAGTCAATATGGCAGTTCCATTTGAGGTCGTCCGAAAGGACAACGCCCAATAGTTTGGCCTCGGAAACGACGTCGACCTCTTGACCGCGAATGGTAATAGGGGCAAACGATGGGGTAAGCTTAGAAAAGCAGACACGCAATTCTTTGGTCTTTAAATATTTGCTAATACTTGAAATATTTGCTAAAATTGACTGGGAATACTTAGAGGTTTCATCGTAGAATGGCGTAGTTATATTTATTTGCTCTTTGACTAAAATGTTTATCTGTATTATTGCTAAACATGCCGTTTTTGAGAATTCGGTTTGCAACTAGGTTTGAACATCCAACCACGCCATCAGCCCATTGAAAACATTAGGTCACGTCAGCTAGTTTCCTATCCATTTCTTTTATTATCCCTGATACGACCTACCATGTTGTTATGATTGCATTGTCAAGGCCGATTTACACTAAACAACGCGCCTACGTTGTAAGCAGATTGCATGCGAAATCGGCTAGTGTAAATCGGCTTTAAAGAAAACTCAAGTACGCGGCAATAAACGTTGGAGTGCCAGCCAGTCAGGTATGACTAAAAATCTTTTCGGGATAATTTTGTCATGTCCACCCGAAAACATGTATCAGTTACCTGAGCAGTTTTGGTTGAAGACAAAGGACATGCAATACTTCCAAAGCGAGTGAACGTTGCCAGAATGGTTTGTCAATATCTAGGAACTTTACCAACAACGACAGAAAAATCTCACATTCCGTAACCTTCAAGAGAAAAGATTACAGTTGTAATAGTTGTTCATTTGAAAAGATTGAAGAATAATGAAAAAAATTTCTCAAACTCAAATTTGGTAAACCAGGTGTGTGTGTTTTTTTCCAACAAACTAAAAATGGCTTGCGCACGAAATTTAAAAGCTTTAATCGTATTTTCAGTTAATGGATGGAACCTTTGTTGGGTTTTTAATTACTGTACAAAATTTCAGACAATTTGCTTTAGTTTAAGCCCTTTAACTATTCACGTAAACTTACATTTTTTCCTAAAAAATCAGCCTTTCGCATGCTTAATTAATGCCTTCACCTAATTTGCATATTGCTGACATGTATTCGAGAATTTTTTTTCATTATTCTACATTATAAGTACCCAAAGAAACTATATATATATATATATATATATATATATATATATATATATATATATATATATATATATATAAAAAAATGTA